ACACACTCAATATGGTACGGAAGCAGGTGGAAGTTGTGAGTTTGAGTCTCACCGTCACCCATTATCAAAAGAATTTTCACGTGCTTGGCCCATGAAAAAGAATCAGGCCCACACGTGAGGAGGCCTGTTGAAGACATAATTTAATCAAAAGAAAATGTGGTCTATTTAAGCTTTTAGATGAGATGGTCACAGACTTTAACAATATGCATGTGTTTCTAAAGGATGGCTGGTAGAACTGCATGAATGAGTTGTGGAAAAAACAAAAACTAGTCCTGTATCTGGAGAAACGTTGATGACAAAGATATGAGAAAATTATTATGGATGAATGACTAAGGGACATGCTAACCTTTTAATCATGGTAAATGTTAATAAACGGCACCTTAGATTTCAAGATGTGAAAGGAAATATCAATCAATTACAATTCAATCCCAAATCTCATTTTAATATTTAAATAATTTGCCTTTTAAAGCGTTAGCAATTTTTTTTAAAATCTTAAACCCAATCATGTATGAATAACTAGTTTAATGCCAACTAGTTGTTAGTCTTTATAGATTATATTTGCTTCCGTTGTGTTCTGCTTAACTTAGTCCACGGATTCTGCAAAAATTTAAGCTTTTTTTAAGAAAAGTTTTCTCCCTTTTATCAATAACATGAGTGGCAAGTGCAACTAGAGAGAGGTCTACATTGATTTGACCAAATCCTCTTTAATCATTTCTAACTCTTGTCTAATCTTGTATAGCCATATATCCATTTTCACATCCGGATTTTTATAACATTCATCTTCTTTTTAGGGATAAGGTTAGGTAATACTACTCAAATGAGTGTCAAGAAGGTACTGTGAACAGTATAATAAGTCGGACTTGGTCAGACCTACAAAGCTAGGGATTCAAACAAGTCCATTGTATCTATCGCACCGGTTACAGATTTATACTATCATTTTGTAAATATCTTGGGCAACATACACCCCTATGTAACATTGTTAGTGAATCATTCTGTAGAACTTGTCTCTCACTTTGTTAGGTATCTTTCTATAGCATAGCACTTCTGTAGAGCTTCTCTATTCCAGTCATCCCATTTTAATTATGTCTTATACAAGAAAATAAGACGTGAAAGAAAATAACAGGAAAATTTTGTTTTTTAAATATTTGTCGGATGGGCTGGGATCAGCCGGTTATATTTGTCGACTCCAATTGGGCCAGTACTTCAAACCTCCTCTATTGGGAAAAAAAACACCAAACATAAACAAAACGACTTATAATTATGTCTTATACTAGAAAATAAGACGTGAAAGAAAATAACAGGAAAATTTTGTTTTTTAAATATTTGTCGGATGGGCTGGGATCAGCCGGTTATATTTGTTGACTCCAATTGGGCCAGTACTTCAAACCTCCTCTATTGGGAAAAAAAACACCAAACATAAACAAAACGACTTATGTAGGTTTGGGTAGGAATCCCCAGAATTCTTAAACTTCTACAGTTCTTCTCATCTCATTCCCTTTTCTTGCAGAATATGCCTCGCCCTAGAGGTGCAGATGCTGCTGGGCTGCTATTGCGTGAGTTAGAGCTCCATCCACCTGCTGAGGAATGGCACAGGAGAAATATGTTTGGTGGACCTTGGTCTGATTCAGAAGATATGGGGGGCGTGGACGATAATTCTAAGCTTAGCCCATCAAGGGACTTGACTGAGTGCAGCTCATCAGAAAACTGTGATGTATCTTATGGAGCTCATGGTTTGTGGCCAAGGAAACGTAGGATGTCAGAACGAGACGCTGCTTTTGGGTTGAATACTTCAGTGGGCCTGGGTGCATATCTTGGTATAATGGGGTCTCGACGAGATGTTGTGACAGCTGTTTGGAAGACTGGGCTTGAAGGAGTTTGGTATAAGGTTTGTCTAAACATTTGGATCTCTATTTATTCCTAGGTTCAATTTATTGCTGTTATAGTTCATTTTTTATTGCATCTCTTTGCATGAAGGCATAAATAAAGTTATAATTAAGCAAGTTGGATTGTGTACTGGAGAGATAATTAGGCCAGTGTCCCTAACTTGGGAACAACAAAAGTCAACGCTAGCATTTAAATTTATGCACATATTTACTTGGATAAAGTTGACATAAATTTCTTGTAAGAATCCATTGTAAGGTAATGCTAACATTGCAATGTGGCTTTAGTTCCTTATGCTAAAAGTCTCGTTGATTTAAGGTTTTGGTGTTTTGGTGTTTTAGTTTCCTGTACTGCCATATAATACGGATACTTACATTAATTTCACCAAAATGTTAGGGAATTTTTGTCTTTTTATTTTGCATTGTGTTTGGAAGTATTTCTCTGTCTTGGACGTTTTATTTGCTACCTATGTTGCATAAAAGTTCTAATTATGTTTTTTAAATGCTGAATCGTTTTTTCGAGAAGTGATTTTGAAATGCTAAATTATTAAGATCAAAAGATTTCGATGTTCGAGTGTTGCATAACAAATGATAATTGTTATAATTCAGTTTTTACCTACCATATATGACTCACTCACATGTGTACAATCTAGTATCCTCATGTCACATCTTATATTTTCGTAGGTGAGTGTACCTAATGCTGCTGAGGTCAACTTGTATGTTGGTTTAGAATCTACTTACTGTTGATCAGATAATGAAAATTAGGCTGTAGGCCACATCATACTTTATCTTGCTGATCAGTCCTTGGGTTTTCTGATGAAATGTGCTATAATCATTAGTTAGTAAATCTGTGCAATATCTACCCAATGAATGATATATCTTGGGGAAAGCAAAGTGAGCTTCACTCGAACACTGTTTTTCATCCAGATTTAGTCTAATCCCGCTTAGCATTAGTTTCAATTTATTTACTCTCTTCTATTTAGTAGCAAATGGTAACCAAACATGGTCTTATTCCTATATATTTTGTTGAGACCTCATTGATATGAGTAGCGTAACAAGATAATTTGATTGTAGTCTAAGTTTAGTTTCTCAATTTATGATTTCGACTGTTTCTTGCAGTGCATAAGATGTTTGAGACAGACTTCAGCTTTTACTTCACCTGGTGGCAACCCTTCCGCCACTCAAAATGAGAAGGAAGTATGGTGGATCAGCCGGTGGGCATATGGCTGTCCCATGTGTGGTGGGACTTGGGTTCGAGTTGTATAGAGCATTGAGAGTAGTTCACCAACAATTGTGCTCCCAATTTTCGTGAACGGTAATGGTTCACCCACATGGATACAAACACATTGGACTCTGCCAGCTTATTGCCTATTCATCACTCTGGTCATGTACTATATCTTAAAGATCAGTGTGACTAGGTGAGGCAGGGCCTGAATTTGGGTAATTGGTATGTGGTCTGAGCTTACTATATGTGTTATACCATGAAAAGTTTTGGAAGTCAAGGTGATTGAAACCCCGTTTTCTGAAAATGGGGATACTCCTTAGTCAAAGACATCAAATTTTGGAACTAAGAATGAATCCCCACATGTGTATGCAAAGGTCTTTTTGCCTGTGGGAGTTGAATATATTAGATTCTCTTCCCAAACCAGAGCATTTCTGGGGTTGTAGTTATGTATAATAACAGTCCAGTTGTTTGTATGGGAGCAATCCATTCGCTGTGAGTAGCTGTCGAGTAATCAAATTTTGTAAACTAAAATGCGTCTCTCTCTCTCTGTCTCTCTCTCTCTCTCTCTCTCTCTCTCTCTATATATATATATATATATATATATATATATATATATATATATGGTTGTGACTATAGTTGTGGTCCTGTACAAATGTTTCGCTTTCCTTTTGTGGGTTATGGCATGTCTCAACTAGCTTAGATATTCTTTTCTTTTCTGGTTGAGTTTATTAGCCCCATATGGTATGAATGACGAGTGAAACTGAAATCATATGCTGCACTATTTTCGGTCACACAAACAAAGAAGTAACGCTCAATTTTAAGTTTGAACTTGTGATTGTGGTTTCTTGGACACGGGCTGCTTGCTTAATTTTCTTCGCAGAAGCAGTTCACTTTGTCGTTCAGAGCTTCTTCGTTTATTCTTTTTTTTTAAAACGTTTTCCTTAATTAAAAACTATGAAAAAAACACAGTTAAGCCGTGAGAGGAATATGCCAATCAATAGGGATAAAGTGGGTAGTTACTGCTGAAATCTGATTTCTCTCTTTTGAACAAAAATCCATGTATTGGTTGTTAAAGTTGAAGGAAACCTTTCTGAATACAGCGAATTTGTACTTCTGTAGTAGCAGCAATTCAGGACCAGAATTTAGTGACTGCACTTTTTCGTTCTTTTCTATAATTAAGACAGTTAAGTCTTCATGGAAACACATTTTATAATCTAAACCAGATGTCTTCCCAAGGTTGAAGAACAGTTAAAAAGAAATGAGACAAATAATTGATAACTTGTCTGGTTGTCATCATCTTCATCCCCATCCAAGAGGAACTTCAGGTTTCATATGCAATAACCTTTATGTCATAATAAATGATTTGAAGGGAAAAAAAGAGAGGAAAAGATAATGCTTCATATTCTGTCTTCTCTCGTTCCTCATGTTTATTCAATCAGCCCCTATATGCTGAACTTTTTATTATTAATTTTGTTATTTCCAAATTTCTTGTATAAGTGCATTCTGCTTCTTGAACATGCATGCAAATACTACTTCTCGGGTCTCATGGGCTTCCCCTGTTATACATTTCTCCATAGCAGCATTTTCTGCAATCCTTTCAATTCCACTCGATACGAGTCTTTTCTTGTTTATTTTTAAAAAAAATTCCTATGCTGTCAAAAGCAGATGGCATGCATGAACTTCAAAAATAAACTACTGCAATTAAGTCCATATATATCCAGTTTCAGGTCAGTTTTTCTGGAATCAACTCTGCTAGCTATTGTCCTGAATAAACTATTGTTTTTATATCCTAGCTACCAATTAAAAGTTTAGTAGCTCTAGCTCTTCATTCCAAGATATAATTTTCCGAGTAGTTGTAGTTTGATTAAGATAAAATAAGTTCCTTTTTATTTTAATCCCAGTGGGTATAGCAATGATCAAGTTGACTTTTATAAAGCCAACCCCAACAGTTCTCTATGGAATAAAAACCTTGAAATTTGTTGAACTGTGGAACGCCAGCAAGGTCGCCTCTTTTTCATTTCCAGGTATTCTGCAATGTTCATTTCTTTCGTAGGTTTGTGCAGCTTTTCTTTCCTTTTTTGTTTAGGTTCCCGTTTGATTGTTATTGTCTTGTTGAGTGTTTGTAGGCCTAATTGAGGTAACAACAAGAATTTTCCCAGTTAACCAGAAGATTATTAGGGGGGAGGAAAGGATGATCTATGCTTCTCTAAATTCGGTTAGGCAGACATTGGAGGAGCTGCTGAATCAAGATTTATGTCTATTTCCTGAAAAGAGAGCAACATTTGAAGTTCTTCATAATGAGGTTAGTTATTTGCAGGCTTTTATTCAACTACCTTCAGCAACAAAACCCGAGATGAGAATTTGGGAGAGGCTGATAAGAGATGTGGCTTATAAAGCCGAATACGCTATTGAGTTATATCTATGCACAAGTCATATTAATAGAAGTGGTGAGAATGAAGGAAATGCACATATGATATCACAAGATGGATTGCAAGAATTACTCAGAGAAATTTCTTCGGTAAACAAGAAACTGAAGACCATTAATCCGTCTGCTCATGGCACCAAAGATTTCCAAGCAGGGAGTCGTTACTTGGTAATTCATCAGAACAAGAAAACAGATTTTGGGACTTCAATGATCACTTGGAAAGAATCAGATGTCGACTCTTTAGATTGTCATCTGAACTCAATATTGTCCCAATAGTAGGTATGGGTGAAATAGGCAAAACTGCTCTTGCCAGAGCCTCTTATAATGATCCTTGCTTGGTGAATCGTTTTGATATCCGTGCTTGGATTACTGTCTCCCAACAGTATCAGGTTAGGGAAATGCTATTAGGCATTTTGCGCCATATCACTGATCTCTCTGATGCCTACACAAAAACCAATGATGAATTAGGCGATCAGCTATACAAAAGCTTGAAATTTAAGCGTTTTCTTGTTGTCTTGGATGATGTTTGGAGTATTGAGGCTTGGGATAATTTGAGAAGATCTTTCCCAGATGACAAAAATGGACATATCTGTTTAGTTAGTTGTACGATTAGGTCCATCATGTAGCGGATAGTCTGGAATGCAGCAAATTATTAGTGTATAGTCTGGATAGTAACATGTTGATACGATTAGAGTTCATTTAACTTAAAGAATCTGCTTATTAGTGAAAACAGTTTTTGATTAATATGCTATAGGAAGCTACTGGATGCAGAACCATAAAGTTTCCTGCAGCGTCAAAACTTCTCTGCTCTCCTTGTTGATGTTTCAGTGTCAACTTTCATCCAATCTTTCCAAAACATGATGTTACGTGGTTTATTTTTCTGTTGGATTCGTAATCTTCGTTTACCCTGGCATCTGATTGGCTTCTGATCACGCCCAACTATGCCTTATAAAAAGGACACGCGGACGTTGCAAATATAATCTGAGTATTTAGCCCAGAGTTGAACCCACAAGTACTTAACCTATCAATTACTCTCGTTAGACTTACTAAATTCCCCGGAATCAACTTCCCAAACGTTGTGAATAACAATTGAAGATGTTTCTACTAACTAAGAATGAATGTAAATAAGCAACTGAAAACTAATTATGATTAAGTTGTAAACAATTAAGAGAAGGTTCTAAGGTTATGATTTCCCCTATTGATGGAATCCCTTCCGGTTATGTTTCACATAGAATTGCCTAATCGTCTCTATCAATCATGAGTATTCTTATTACCGCAAATCTCTCCCGAGTAATCACGACAATTTACTAGACGCACTCTCCCGAGTTACGCTAGCTGGCTTTGTTTATTACAGCTCACTTTAGATTGCACCCAAGGCTTCGTTATGCCTAATCCCGCCTTTAAACCCTCGGTTATTGATCCCTCATATACTTTGGGAGTGGTGTTGTTCAACAATTAACCTAAATATGCACTCTCTCCCGAGTTATGCACACTAAATAGGCACAACTAATTGAGGATCCTATCAATTAACTACAATAAGAACATAGTTGAACAAATAGAGATTGAACCGGGCAAACTATATTAACATAACAAGAAGTTCATCCTTCAATAGGTTCCATCAAAATCTTAGACTAAGAAATTAGCTACTCATAACAAAACAAGATGAAACTACTAAATTATTCATAATGGGTAATTGCAATAATAAAAATAAGATAGAAGAACTCTAATGTTTAGTTGCTCTTCTCACACTCGTTCTTGCCTCCAAAGTAGTCTAAAAAACAAGCTTAAACATGTCTTGGGCGAGCTTCTAAGGTTTATAAGGGTTTGGAATAAGTTTTCCCCGATTTACACTTTGGTCCCCAATTTTCTGGCGCTTGAACAGTTCACCGCGGTCGCGGCAAGACCGCGGCTCGACCGCGGTGAACGCTGAACATTCTGCCTCGCTTAGTTAATCTACCGCGGTTCTGCTGCGATTCCACCGCGGTCGCGGTGGATTTTGCTTCAGTCCATTTTTTCTTCTTTATGCTCGGGTACTTCTTGATTGGGCGTTTTTATCATATTATTGACTCCAAGACACTCCGTAGTGCTTCCTCACTTAGATTATTCCCAGCGAAGCAAAAGAACACCAATTAAAGCATTTTGTTATCAATTTGCCTATAAAACAACAATAAAGCATGGTCATATTAAGGTGTAAATATCATCTATATAGCCTAATATCAGCTGCCCTTCCAATTTTCCAAGTATGCAATTGTTATGCTGCTGGTCTTGGTCTTAATAAATAAATTCTGCTATGCTGGACTTATAGCTGCTCACAAGAATAAGGAACCTGTCACTGATGATGTAGCTTCCAAGGTGAGTAACAAGCGCATCCATGTGTATTAACTTATTTTTTTGTTTGTTATTTTTTGGAGAAGATTCTTGAGCTAGTTGAGCAGTCCAAGGGTTGGTCAGCAGTTGAAGCACCTACTGACATCCCAGTAAGATCCATGATGGGCATGCCCGAAGAAGAACTTTACAATATCCCAACTGCTGAGTTTGTTTTCCGGCGTGGTGGATTTTTAAATAGGGAATTCACCGTTTATCATGTTGCATTTCATGCCTGTGCAGACCTAAAAAATGGCCCGAATCTTTCTGTTAATTCTTCTTGTAAAGTATCCTGTCATATCTTGGCATTCATTTAATTTAGATGTTCCAATCCAACATATTATCTGCAGTAGGAGACCCCCCCCCCCCACAAACACCCGGGCCGCGCCTCAGAATCAGTAAGTGTCTTAAATAACTGGGTTTTGAAAACGGATAAGATAGACCGAACATTGTTTAATTGCTTAAACATGAAGTAAGTTTAATACTTTCACAGCCTAGCACTCAGAATTTATCTAGTCGAATCTTTATATCAGCAAGTCCTTTGCAGGTATTCTTTCTATGAGAGAAAAAAAGAAGTTGATAGATCTTAAATACTCTTGCCTTATGTTTTGATGATCTAACAAACTTACTGTTAAGAATCAGATTGGGAACCTGACCTACTTGGATTGCTGCAAGCTTTAACGGATCCCAGCTAAAGGTGAACTGCTACAGCTTCAGGAGCTAGGAACCAACACAAGGACCTGATGCTCTTGTGGTTTCCTCATAGCAGTACAAAGTCAATTGGACACAGGTGGAAATGAAGTGACTGACGGCACTGTTTCTGCCGCACTGCACTGCACTGTCCGCCCACTCATTCTCTAACCAAACAAAGTACTCACATCACTTCAAGTGATGTGATCAAAATGTACCCACAATGAGCTTTATACAAAACATGACTGGAAGGCTTTTGTTTCTCATTCAAGTCTCTTGCAAAAACAGAAAAATCAATCCTCACAAGCTTGAAGAACAAGGTTGAACACTACTACGGACCAGTTCCTAAAAGATAGATTGTTGTTGTCCTAGTTGAGTTGTAACCGTGTTATTGTACTTACTGTATCTCCTAATTTGTTTACCTAGAAGCATTTTGATTAGGAATCCTCTTGTAAATCCGTAAACTCCTTGAGTTTATGTTGTGACTAGATTTAGTCAAAAGGAAAAGTCTTTGTAATCGTAGAGTTACAAAGTGGCTTGTGGTGATAGCATCACAAGTTAGAAAAAGCTTTTGTAACTAGGATAGTCACAAAGTGGCTTGTGGTAAAGGTACCACAAGTTAGTTGAGTAAATCCTTTGCAATAGGAAGTATTGTAAAGTGGCTTGTAATAGGTAGATTACAAGTTGGTGAAGTTAAAAGCCTAAATGTGTAGGTCATGGTTTTTTGATCCCCTTGTGTGGGATTTTTCCACGTAAAAATCCTCTGCCTCATTTACATACTGTTTTATTAAGTACTCTCAGTAGAACCTTGTAGAGGACCAGGTACTCTACGATTTGGTGGACCTATACAAACTAACAATTGGTATCAAAGCAGGTTCCTCCTATCAGGCTAACACCTAGGAAGGATCCTCATGGCTGCTCCACTAAATTTTGAAGAAGGTCAATCCATATACCAACCCCCCAAGTTTGATGAAAAATGCTATTGGTGGTGGAAAGCTAGAATGCACGATTTCATCATGGCTGAGGATTGTGAGCTATGGGATATCATTTGCGATGATCCTTATGTTCCAATGAAGGTACTAGATGAATTTCCATTTTCAATGGAAAAACCAACAAAGAATACACTGAAGCAGACAAGAAAGTTGTGGAGAAGAATTTTCGTGCCAAGAAAATTCTGGTATGTGGAATGGGACCTAAAGAGTACGACAGAATCTCTACCTGTGACGCTGCAAAGGAAATATGGTAGACTTTGCAAACAGCTCATGAGGGAACTACAAAAGCAAAATAGTCTGAAGATAAACCTAATACTGGTGATAGTTCCATGATGGCAGTTGAAGGCGAGGAGATTGGATATAACTCAACTTATGCTTTGATGGCTCANCAGCTTGGTAAATTCGATGCCAAGAGTGACGAAGGAATATTTGTTGGGGTACTCTTCTCAAAGCAAGGCTTACAAGATATATAACAGGTGGACTCAATGTGTTGAGGAGAGTGTCCATGTTATCTTTGATGAATCTTATCCATCATTTGAGAAGAGTGCTGAGGAAGATCAAGATAGAGAACCTTTACTCGTTCCTGGTGAAGTCATCAACATGACAAACGGAAAGGCAGATATGATGAGTCAAGTAAAAGAGCCCAAATGAAGACAATGCTGCCTCATCATCAACAGAACCAAGCACCTCAATCACAACTACAGAAGCTGAGAAAGGGTGGTTGATGCAGTTCAAGGAACTCCACTAGCACATGAAAGAAGGATAGAGGAAAATCAGCCAAACATACCTTCCTCCTCTCAGAATGAACCTCAGGCGTCTAACTGGAGACACCAAAGCTCTCACCCTATAGAAAACATCATCACTCCTCTAGATTCTGGAGTACAAACCAGGTCAAGAGCCAGAAATTCACTTGCCTTCTCAACATTTCTCTCCCAGATAGAACCCAAAAACATCAAGGAAGCCTTGAAAGATGCAGATGGATTACAACCATGCAAGACGAGCTGCATTAGTTTGAGAGAAACAATGTGTGGCACCTGGTACCTAGACCCCAGGTGGGTATTCAGAAACAAGCTCGATGAACATGGAATCACCACAAGGAACAAAGCCAGGCTAGTGGTCCAAGGATACAATCAAGAGGAATGGATTGACTATGATGAAACGTTTGCTCCGGTGGCTCGCATGGAAGCTATCAGAATTCTAATCGCTTTTGCATCTCCATAAATGTTGCTGGGGCATTTGTCAACCCAAATGACATCACTAGAAACTCATAATGACCGTACCGAGTTCGAAAAGCTGTCTTAGGGACATTGGATGCCCTAATCCTCAACTGATGGAAGCCAGACCTCAAATCGATCTTTAAAAACACCCTGGCACCCTGAAGCTGATCAAATAAATCATCAATCCTCGGCAATGGATAGTTGTTCTTGATGGTGACTTTGTTCAACT